TGAGCACAGTCTTACTCCCTCTGTTAAGTTCCCTAGCACAGGCCTGCAACACACACTCCATGAATCCCCAAGTCAACACGTTACCCAAGAGAATCTCCACTCGCTGCTCTCTGCCCTCGCTTTCTCGCAGCCACACAGTGACACGCAGGTGCAGGACACAGTGACACTGCAGCTAGGACTCAAGGTCATTAAATAAATTTTTTAAAAGCAGCAGCCCTCCTCAGAACAGCTCTGCTGTGACCCCACAGCCTGTGAACAGCCCTTCTCCTTGCAGAGAGAATCCACTTCAAACTCTCCTCCAGTTCAGTGCTTCAGACCAATGAATTCCAGCGCTCTTCAGAGACAACAACCACGACCCTATAGCTTCTCTCCCAAGCACCAATCACCGCTGGTGATGCATGTATTTATCATTAATCCTCACTTTTGTGTCAGCTTTTACTTCACAGAAACACTCCTAACTTTGCTAGTTAAGAAAGCTATCTGAGCTGGAGTTGAGCCAATTAGCAATCGCAGCTGATGATGGTGCTCTGATCATGACAACCACTTGCACCTGAAGAACTCAGCTGTGTGCTATGTCCTAATTCACCACGGACAGACATTTTGATTAAAACCAAACCATGGTGACTGCAGATGTATTCCAGACCTTCCCTCCTCAGTGACTGCTGCATTTCAGTGCATGAGCATTTTCATTAACAAAACAGGAATAAAGTGAAATTCTGAGTTCTAAGAAGAGATTGTTTCATAATCTGTAATAATTAACATTTTTAATTGATATAGTGTGTGTTATGAGTGATATAGAAAAATGAAAACATAAATGAAGAGTAGTTACCCTTACTCAGGACTTGGCCTGAAAATTATGTAGTAATTCTTAAATGGAAGATCTGATTTGTTTAGTGTGTATTCTTTATATATCAGTGTTGTAACTGGCTTACAGTGCTACTAGGTGAATTTTAAATGCTATTTTATTTTGTGCAGTTAATTTACAATAATTCTGTATATCTAACTAAAGTCCACTAAAATAAGCTGTAACCTGTATCTGACCTGACAGGATAAGCTGGGATGTCTCAGGATCACCTGAAACAGAGTTGTGTTGTGCTGTAGATGCCATGATTGCATATCCTGCTATTAGCCAGGGATGTATCTGAAGTCTCTCCACTAACCAGAAGTGTTTCAAATTCACAGTCAGCCACGGGGAACAAGCTCGCTGTTCCCATTTCAAAAGCATGAGAATGCCCAGGACAGTGTAAGCTACTTTTTGGGTTTTGTCTGAGTGTCCCACACCAACAGCTGTAACATGGACAGAGTTCCCCTGAGAACTGAAGAAGAGTCACTTGCTTCCTTAAAATCATGACACTGCCTTTGATGCAATAGCTACCAACCTGAGGTGGCATTTAACTGTTAATCTAATCACAGAGAGTATGATTAGCTGTCCACAGTATCAGGCAATTTTTCTACGAAACTGGAGGAGCACTCTAAGCAGCAAACTTTTTGTAAACATTTAAAATCTGCCCTCTACAACATCCAGTTTTCAGACCAGAATGAAAGCAGGTTGCTGAGGACGTACAGTGAATGTCCCTGGGAAACTGAGAGTTAGTTTTTCAAAATTCTTTAATCCTGGGGAGTAAAACGCAGTGACAGTGCCTGATTAACCTGGAGGTCATCTAAAGGTGGCTCAGCTTGCCAGGAACTCACTTGTGTTATTTGTCTTTAACCAGATGGTTGTATAATTCCTCATATTTTTCTTTTTGTAACAAAGCATGACAAAGAGGGATCTGGGCAATCCTCATTAAAGTTTTTCTTGTTTGTTTGTAATCCATTACTGTTACCCAGAGCCAAAATCCAGACATCAAATTAAGTTTCACCGTCTTCCATCATATTATATAAAAATCTCATCATTTTGTGGACACCAAGTACTTCAAAATATACAAATACTTTAATACATACAACTCTTCATAGTCCATTAAATACAATTAATTCCATGGTCTTTAAAATACTCTATCACTGTATTAGCTGTAAGAAAAAGGTTTGCACTGGTATTTATATAATATTGATTTGATCTGGCTGATGCAAAACCTTTCAGTGTACTGCAGGGATTATACTAAAGAACACGAATTCTACTGAAGAGCAGCAATTCAACTAGAATCCAGAGCATTTTGGTTTAGAAGAAAAGATGCTGTTAGAAGATGATGAGGTGAGAGTGATTAAAGCTGCAGCAGTGAGCAGCAGTGCGGTGTAGCACACAGAGGGACTGCACTGGCTTCCTGCTGGGATGCACTTGGTGCAAGTCGGGTGCATCCTGCTGTGGAATCGCACTGCAATGCTTTGAGACAAGGCAGCATCCCACCACACGTGTGCAACAGGAACAAGGAAGTGTGGTGCAGCTTGACTACAGCAACCAGTCATCTTTTTATGCTTGCTTCCCCAAGAAGCTGAATGAGATGATAAGAAGATCTATTGCTTTTTGCTTTGAAGTGTTAAATCCATCTTTTCCTGTATCTCCAGCTGGTATCAAACTTATTGAGTGGAGACAATCAGACTGGTTTAGCTGGTATCCCACAGCTGTGACTGTCCTCCTTCATGAACTGTTAACTCCTACTGTCACACAGCATGAATTCTGTTTCTCAATGAAATCTTCAGAAGAAAGATTTGTAGCTTTGCAGAAAAGCAGCACAGGGCCCTCAAATGTACTTGAAAGAAAAATGCAAACCCAGCACTCTGATGCTTTGGAGTTGTAACCATGTGCATGGGTTGTTTTGTAGCACAGTCCATAGAAAGAGGCCATAATTAACACCAACCTCACAATAAAGAGGTCGGAGTAATTGTGGGTAGAGCTTAACTTTGACAGGCCAAGATGGGAATTGATCAGTAAGAAATAAATATATATATATATATACACACACAGATACACATATATATTTTAAATATATATAATATATATAGTGCATATATATAATGTATTGCATGTGTATATATAATATATGTATTTTGTATAAAAAAGCTTCACATTCAAGTATAGATATATATTAAAATATAAAGACAGGAGGACCTTTTGAAGTGAACCTTAAACAGAGAATCTATCGGGAACAGAATTCTTATTAAGATCATCAAGACATGTTTTCCCTAATTTCAAAATGTGATCAATTCAGATGGCTAGTGTTCCACTGATTACTGAGAAACACAGCACCATGAAAAGTGAGAAAAAGGGGG